GCTATCTTGGGGAGGTGTCCACAACTAACTGAGTAGGTTTCAGTTTTGTTTTTTAATTCATGGAGATGTGGCAGGAACCATTTGTTTCCTTCTGACAAATACGGATATCTGGATAAAAAAGGCAAAATCTGTACTGTCTGTACTTTCTGAAAAGGCACCTGGGATGAGCTTTTATAGTCCTGATCAGGTTTGCACTATTTGCAGTAGTCTGCTTTGCCCTACAAATCCCCTTCGCCCAGCCTGCATAGCCAATGGAGGGAGATGATGGGAGCTGCAAGCCAAAACAACCAGAAGGCCACAGTTGACCACTGCTGCTTTATACTGAAGCAAGCCCTGCCAGATTATGTTTTATTTGTGAGACTCAGGGTTTTGCCTTTAAAAACGTCACAGAAGCATCACTGTACTCCTGTAAAGTAGCCTTATAAAAAGACTCAGGAAGTGATTGGAACTTTCTGCTCCTATTTTAAGCAACCATTAAATATAATTATAAAAATATCAAATCCAAAGTAATTCACTCATTTCATGCCATACGGCTTAGCAAATTTGTTTTCACCAAAAGGATAACAAGGCGGTAAATGAATTTAGTGGTCGAATTTGGACTATTAGGATAAAATCTGATGTTCTGTTAGCATAGTCCATAAAATGAAACATTGCCATTTAATATGTTTATAGCCTTTTTCACTCCTCTTCTTTTCACAGGCTGCTGTTCCAGTTCTGACATGAGGTTGTAATGATAGAAGCCTCCTGCAGGCTTGCCTCCCGTTAAAATATGTACTGCCACACATCAGGTTATTGAATCAAGGAAATAAATCTCTGCAGGAGCAAATATTGACTTTTGTTATGAAAATGGAAGTGAATAACTAACCGAACATTGATTTTGGAAAGGAATGAAAAAGGACAGGTTTTAACATCCCCCACCCCAGCATTCTTTTTAAAAGAGTAACATTTCAGTTTTTAAAAGAACAGTTTAGAGAAGTAGTAAACTAAAGACGACAAATCACTCATTGTGCAGAGAATTATGTTGTTCCAAGTATCTTAAAGGTCTAGATTCTGCTTGTGTGCTTTACAAATTGTCTTTCCCTGACAATGACTGTGCTGGTGTCTTATTTCCATTAAATAAACATTTTGCTTCCTAACCAGGACTAACCATCAAGCTCAGGATTTGCAAGGTTGGAATGATGGCAGGGGCTGAATTCCAGGCACTCAGCCCAAACTTGCCCATCTGCCTGTATAGCATGAACACAGCCTGGCTGAGACATTCTCATGTGATGGTGGCAAACCCTTCGTTGCCACCAATTTGAGTGCATACTTATGAAGGAGCCATAACCGTTTCAATTTCACAGATGGTTATACCTGTATCAAATATATATTTGCAAACACTTGTCCACCATGGGAGAGTTGTTTTTCTGACAGAGGATATCTTCTAATTCAGAAATACTGCATTCACTCACACTAGAACAGCAATCCACAATACCCTCAAAAGCAAAATCCAAGAAAAGCTAGGGGACAGAAGACATCCCTCCTCTCCAGCAATCCCCCAGAGCAGCTCTACTGAGGGGCAAGTGAACTGGTTCATTGGGGGAGGCTATAGGGAAAAGGGACGACACCTTCTATGAGCAGGTATTTTGTTGTGGAAGTTTCTTCTGTCCTCTTTTCAGGGCTGCAGCCCTTCTCTCCGGACACCTGCAGCTTTAATCGAGAAAATCTGGTCAGGCTGCGGGTGGCAAAGAAATCTATTTCTGCCCATTTTTCTTCAGAAGCCACACAGTGTGTCCAGTCTACAGCTTTTCTTTAATTTAGATATATCAAAAATGTCAAGAAAAATGTCCTTTCTATGGAATCTCATCAGAAATGTACAGGCAGTTTAGCCTCAATGGATTTTAGATTCATTTTATAGAACCCTGTGTTCACTTTCTCCATGCATTACTGTAAAGTAGCCAGTCCAGAAAAAAAGTTGCAAGGAAGTAGTTCCAGCATTGACATCCCTGTGTTGCACTACAGTGTGTGTAAAAATATCCATTAAGGACATTAGCAGATCACAAGAAAAACTTCAGCAGAATCGGATTGTGCATGATTGAAGGAGTAAAACATTATCAATCTCTACCACCTTGAAAAGTCAAGAGAGTAGTTAAAAAAAAACCACAAAGCTGTTTTTCCAGTGTGTCTGGCCTTGAAGAACCCCCGCCAAATTCAATATCCTCAATCTGAACTTCGGTTCCACCTCATTAAATTTTATACCTCTGCATTTTAGCTGTAAACTACTATTGGCTGAAATAAGAGTTGCATCCATCAATCACCATCTTGAGGTCTAAAAGGTCTTCTCTTACTTTTTGGCAGGTTTTGAACAATCAAACGCTTTACCAGTCGAGGCATTGCACATGTTGAATTTTACCCATCTGTTTGGCAATCTTGCTTGATGTGATCTACACAGGTATCTTGGTGGGGGCTGATTGATTGGGCAAGGCTCACATAATTGTTCCTGCCAACTGGGACGTTCACACATACATACTCCTTCTGCCATCATGAGACACAATGCAGCTCAGAAGGTCTGTGGAGGGACGGGGGGACGGGGAGTGGTGACTTTGTCAAGAGGAATAAAGATGCAGAGAGCTTCAAACCTAGCAGGGCTGCTTAGTACTGAGGGTGCATAAAAGGAAGAGGTGATGCTGCAAGGTTCAGGACTGTATAAAGAAAGGGTGCAGAACCTCAGGCTCATGGGCCAAATTTGGCTTCCCTTGAATCTCTCTCTGGAGATCCTCAAGTTTCTACGCCTCTTCCTCTATCATGAATTGTTAAGTGGTTTTTGTCTTCTGTGCTGTTTTCCCTATTCCAAGGGTAGAAGGTTCTTCTAAGGCTTGATTACTAGCAGAGGGAGCATTGAGCCAAAATATGCTGGCATTCTAGCCCTCTCCTTGTTGTCTTGGCCCCACCTACCACTGGAGTGAGGCCTTCAAGAGTTTCCCCAAAATGGAATTCAGCCTTTTGACTGAAAGAGATTCCACATGTAAGACTATATACATATACTTGCTGATTTTACCAGAACAGTTTCCGCACCAAATCAGCAAGTAATATTTTGTTTAAAGCTTTTTTCCTACAGCTTTTTTCTATGGTGAAAGGTAGATTGGACAGAAGTTAATCTGTTGGATGACTGCTTGATGATTTGCCCTAGATTTGCTAGGCTTCTTATTCTTGGTCCTTGATGGATAGTAACATAAATCAGCCTTCACCAGTCTGGTGCCTTTCAGATTGTTTGGGCTACAACTCTCAGGGTTCCTGATCATTGACCATGCTTGCTGGGGCTCATGGAAGTTGTAGTCTAAAACTTCTGGATGGCACCACATTGGAAAGGCCAAGAAATTTACTGTACTTGTATATAAAAGTAATATCAGTTGGCTTGTGGTATTACTCCAACTCCCTAAGCCACAATTTTGCATCTGACTCCCACAGGTCAATTTTGGATTTCTAGCAAAAGGCCAAAAGACTATGAGTCTGATGTCTGTGCATGCCTGCTCTAGCCTGCACGACTCTAGTTGGAGACTTGCATAAGCCCTATTTCTAGTAGGATGCTATTTGCATTTAAGTTTACACTACATCTTGAAGAAAAAACTTTTGAAGAGATGTGGATGGGTAGGAGAATCAGTAATTCCACTTGAAATATGTTTGCACCTTTTCTTTAGATTTGCCTGAGACAACAATCAAGATTAATAATTTTGATTGTTAGTATTCCTACAGACCAGAGGGAGGGGATCCTACAGCCCTCTGGATATTGCTGAACTACCATTTACATCATCCTTGACCATTGGCTATGCTGGCTGGGGCAGACAGGAGTTCATATTTAGCAATATCTGGATGGCCTCTGTTCTCCAGTTCTGCCATAAAGGTGTGGTTTTTTAAATCATTAAATAAGAGCACTTAGCATGGGGCTTATGCAGGGGCTCTCTCATTTGGACTGGAGAGCTCTCCCACACTTGATCAGACCAGTCAGGAATTTCACAACTCCCTTGCTTCTTAAGCCTTGGGAGCCCTGAACCTTTCCCTAAATGGCAATAATCTAAGAACTCCTTGAATCTTAAAATCACCCCTTGGAAACTTTTGTACATCGCTATCTGATCTCTGATTAATTTCTGGGCATGGATGGAATATAATAAAGGGCATTTTGTGGACCACTAAAAATGATATCATAATACATGCTTTTAATATGGAAGGCATCTAATGCTACAAGGCATCTATTCTGACTTTTCCTCTTTAATTTTTTTTGTTTGAAAAAGATGGTGGAAGCAATGGGAAAATATAGGAAGTTTATAAATAACGTGTTTGAGACAGAGTGATTGCAGAATGTCTGAAAGTATCCATAAGGTGATACACGAAGTGGTAGGAGAGCATGCTCAGAAAAAAGTGAGCTTATTTTCTAAGAGCTCTCTGAGAAAACATGTACAGACTGGGAACTCTAAATGGAGCTATGGAGGGTTTGCTGATCACTAAAGAGACTGCTGCAATATAATATAGTAATAATATAATGATACAGACAAGGCATTTTAGAACTGAAGAGTGGCGTGTCCTTTTCAGCAATAAGATCTGCTGCAGCAACAGCAACAAGTAACGCTTCAACTACTCTCAAGGTCCTTTTCTGCTTTACATTTCACATATTGGAATCCTAGCCCACTGCATTTGAAATGAACCTTGTCTAAACAGACAAATAAATGAAGCAACAACAATACCTGGATGGGGGGAAGGCAGCATTTCACAGTAGAATAACATGAGCCAAACTACATTTAACTTAGGAGCAAACAAAGAGGAGGAAAATGGAATTAAATTACTAGCTTCTTTCTGACAGCAAACAAACATAAGATTCATGGATTTGTATGGTCCTTTTGTTGATGCTGTTTAAACACACACCAGGTCTTTCCCCATTAAACAAACCAAGTAAAGGTTACTAGTATTATAGAAAACAACCTTTGGTGTATCGCACGACATCCCAGCAACTGTACAAGTGGGGTTACCTTTCGGTCTTCTTTAAAGAGTTCTGCAGCAGCTGTGAAATGCGGGATGGAGTTTTTACAGTGTGGGCACCCTGCAGGTCAAGAAAGAAACAGCATCAGGTATCAATGTAATATAAAGTGAGCACTGGGCACTCTGTTCAGACTCTGTTCAGTTATCCAAATCAGCTCTACATGGGAAGGAGGGAATATGCTGGGGCCTTGGGAGTGTGTACACGAAGCCCCCACATGAGCAGCATCGTGTGTGCATCAGGTGTTCATGTACAAATGCATGCATGACCCTTGCAATATTTGAAAAGTGTGGCAGAAGCATGGATAGCAATGAAGTATATGCGAATACCCACCTTGCACGTAGCATGTTTTGCATGAGCCCAGCCTACTCACACCTGGAACCCTGGCCTACTTTGTACTACATGAAGGCTATTCACACCAGGCTAAACTGTTCTGAACTGTTCCCAAAACAAAAACCATGAAGTGAGCTGGTGATGCCTGTGCAATCTCCTTACTTTCATGTTAATGACTGGCTGGAAGCACCTGCATCATTCAATTGTACTCATTTAACTCACCTAATGCACTGAGGTTTTTAACAGGTTACCTCTAGATTTTCTGGATAATCATCAATCTTTAGAGTGTGTTAGAATATCAGATTTTATTTGGGCTATTTTTTAAAATACCAAACTTGGAAACACAAAGAAGAAATGACAGCTTCTGCTTGAGTCTCTGGATAAGAAAAAAATAGACAAAAAGCTTCTTCTTCCCCTTATACTATAATTATTGTCTTGGTGTATCAGATCAAGCATTTGTCTAATTCAGTCTTCTTCCAATAGTCTGATGCCACTGGAATCTCACAAGCAGGTCATGAAACAGTGATTCTCTGTCCCCAGCATCTTGTCCTCAAATGCAACCCTCTTTTGATCACAGAGGTTCTCTTTTAAGCTATGACTTTGATAACTCTTGTCTTGACAAATCCTTCAAAAACCCAGCTACATTAATGGCCAACCCCATAATTTATGTTGTTTTAGACATTATTGTTTTATTTAACAATACGTTATGTTGTTGTTTCTGTTTTTTGTGAGCTGTCCAGAGAGCCCTCGGCTATGGGGCAGAATACAAATACAATTAAAAAAATAAAGGGAATAAATTCTATAGGCAGTAGCATCTGTTTAGGGTCAGTGCTGGTGGTGGGTATGGTTGGGCACTTGCCAAGGGATTACACCATAGCACTGTCCACTGACAAAAGCCACCTGGAGTTGTTGCCCCTGTACGCTATTGTATCCTGCTTGCTCACCTGCCTCTAACTCTGGCCCAAATAATGGTGATAGTGAGAAGGAAGAGCAACAGTTGCTCGTGCCTGGTCGCTGTCTGTCTGTATGCTAAGCAAGCAATAGCAACGATGGGAAAGAAGATGAGATGCAAGAGCAATTGGTGGCAATGACAATGAGAAGGTTGACTCACTGAGCAAGGAAGTCAGTTGAGGTCCCTTGAAAACTTGGACATGGAGCACTGCACCTATGGCTCCTCCTCCTCACCACCACTGGTCTGCACCAGAGTGAGAGGCCAGTGAAAAGCCAGGTTGTGAAGAGGAGGAGCAATTCCAGGGAACTCTTGTCAGTGGGACCCTGCTGGGTCTGGATCCTCAGCAGGTACCAGACCATGTTGATCCCTGATACTGGCCCTAGGATCATCTGTTCCAAATTCTCTTTTGAAAAAGCATTAGTGATACATGGATGGAATATCTCCCTAACTAGAAGAGACCTGACTACTTAAGCATCCACCAGATTGTATGACAACACTGCAACGGCCATGTGCCAGAATTGCAGGAGAGTCCTTTCTCTCCAGTGCTTCTCCTTTCTTTCATTGCTACAACACCTTCCAGTCTGCTGTTCTAAAGGCCTCCTCAGGTCCCTACTTCTACTGGCCAGACCTAGAAGGTTCTCTCATGTTACTAGCTGTTGGTTCTTCTTCTTCCTAGCAGCCCCTGATCTTAGTATGTCAGGGAAGATCAGACTAGTACATACGCATACTACTATTTAATTCTGTTTGTAATTAGTCTCTCAAAAGAAGCCGACCTTGGAAGAGATAGCTGCCTTAGGCGTCTCTTGCAATCAAACAGCCTGGCATCCAACCTGGTGCCTACAAGCTTACAGCAGTACAGTCTGAAATGGTTCTGCTGCTATTACCTGAACACTGTGTAACATACGCAAATAGGTTTAACTCTTCCCCTCTTAGTCAGCATAGAACACAACAGGCTTGACCTTTCCACTACACCATGGAGAATGATGGCTGTTTCACAAACCAGCCTGTAGCCTATCTAGTCAGAGACATGCTGGTTAGGATTGATGGCAGCTGATGTCCAAAACTTCTGGATGGCACCAGATTAGGGAAGACTGTTTTGCTACCACACTGATATAAAGAAAAAGCTGAGACAAGTATGAATGGGCAGAACACTTCAGATAATATGAATTACAGGAATGTAGTGACTTTTTCATTTATCAGGAGAGCTTCTGTCCATTTTTATATATGGAAACCTGAACAGCAATACCTCTGAATCTTTTGGGCAGCAGACCAGGAAGTTTCTGTTAACATACAGATGTCCGGAAAACTGCTCCATAGGATAGCTAAAGAAGATTAAAGTACCTTTGTCTATTAAATTTTATTGCTGAAAAGTGGATGCACAAGTGACAAAGTCACTCTATGAGTTGTATAGATCGACAGAGTAGAATTTGGAAATTTGATAGCACTGGAAATCTGAAGTGGAGGGCTATTTTTGTAATGCTCTTATTTTGAGAAAACATTCTTCAGGCGATGACGGACCTTGAGATGTAATCATGCCGTCTGGGGAGGTAGAGTCGGCATCCGAGTCTGAGTCGGGTCCGGGATGGTATGGTTCCGATGAGGAGGTCCCTGGAGAAGTGGGACGATTGGGCTCTACATGCCGGGAAGTAGACGGCAGATCCTCATGAAGAGAGGGTGAGGAACAATCCTGTGGGTGAGGATGAAATCCAAAAGAATGGTAGTCCTCCCAAAACCTCTGGTAGTCATAGTAGGGTCGGAACCATCCTTCTTCCTGCCTCTTGTCCATCCGGGTCCAAGGTGGTGGTGATGGAGATTGGTCTCTAGCCCTTGCCGTAGGCATAGGAGGCGGGGACCGGGCCCTCAGAAGAGAATCCTGAATCTCCCCATCAGACATTGACTCACGATGCTGCTCTTCGGGCAGTGGAATAGGCATGCCCTGTTGAGGAGCAGATTGCATCGGTGACCCCGGAGGAGTAACCTGCATCTCTGCCTGAAGCATCGGTACCAATGGCGTTGGTCCCGAAGCTGCCGTCGGGATCGATGGGGCTGTCGAACCCGAATCCCGAAGCCTCTTCTTATGAGGCAGTTTTGCCGCCTTATCTTCCTTCGCCTTTTTGTGAGCTGAAGATTGATCCGATCCCCCGTGCTTCCTCTTTGCCCGTTGTTTACGAGGGGGGGAAAGAGGTAACTGAGCCCCTGGGGGGGAATTTCCACCGTTGGATGGTTGCGGCTGCGGCACAGGCAGCGTGAGTGAAGGGCGTTGCCCAGACATGCCCGCAGCAGAAGCTGGGCATTGAACCGGCTCGGACGAGGCTGAGGCCTTGCGCTTAGCAGATGGAGCATGCGCTGGCCCGGGTTTTCCTGCAGGCTGATCGGATTGCATCAGCGCCTGATCCCAAAGGAGTTTGCGCAGCCGGTTCTCCCTATTCTTTCACGCTTGCTTAGTGAAAGTAAGGCAATGATGGCATTTATCAGTCCTGTGCCCCTCGCCGAGGCACAGGAGGCACAAGTCATGTGGGTCCGCCGGAGACATTTTGGATCCACATTCCACACATTTGCGGAAGGCCGCTCGCTGTGCCATCACAGAAAAAGAAGAAATAGAATATAGAAAGAGGGAAAAGTAATATATTTTTGGTTTTTTTTAATAGAAACAAGTAAAGAGAAAAAGAAGATATAAACTGGAACAAGGGAATAATAACTTGGAATAAGAGTAAGAAGATAAACGGTAATTAATGAATAATACTGAGTCAAGCGAGAGACAAACAGGCACGAGGCACAGTGAACGGCGGTTGCAAAAGACTGGAGAAAATGGCGGACACTCCGCTCTATATATACTACCGAGGGGAAGGGGAGCGGAGTTTTTCCCGCCAAAATCGTTAGCTTTCAATCTTTCCGGCCTAGGCACTGCATACGTGTGATGCACAGAGGCCACAACAAAGAAAGCATATGTTCTACCTGTTATATGACAGGACACAAAAGGCCCCAGATTGCATAGACATTAATTGTTTGCTAGGTTTCATACAGCAGATAAATGATGGAGTTAGTTCAGGCTAATAAATAATGCTTCAATTTATTCATTTAGGAATAGACTTAATGATTTTTAACTCTTCAAACTGCACAGTAAAGTTGAAACAAATCGAACAGTAGGCATGCCAACTAGGAAAATATCATTTTTAAAGGAAGCATTATTAACAATGTAATTGTTAGGATGCACAAGAAAGCCATTTCTAGTCATTTAATTATTGTCAATAACCAGATTTTTTGAACAACATTTTATTGAAAATTTAATCTATAACTATCACCATGCGATGTGTGGAACTGTTCAATGACCCAACCATATTTCATTGAAATGCACTTTGTCCTGTGGCAATGTTCTTACTCATTACAGACTTTTTCAGAAGGTGGCATTGATTCACAATAATCATGTACAGAAATTCAGACAACAATGATATACTTCTGCCTTCCCAGCAGCATAGCTTTCTCTGCTGTTACCTCTAGAATGCAGAATAGGGATGATCAAGGCTGGACTCAGAGAATAGATTCTAAAAGAGTTGTAACCCGCCCAGGGAGCCATGTCCCTAAAAGGATAGGCTAGAAATCAATCAATAAATAAGAGCTACAAGTAAGATGCTACAGCACTTGGTACACATATACCCCCTTTATCCCATAAGTAAAATAGGTATCGAAACTCAAAGCCTGTTTACCAGTCATAAGTCTATGGTGAGCATACTTTCTCATAACATCTTCAACCTCTTGACAAAACCCAACCAATCTCTAG